CTCTTAACAATCTGCAGTTGTAAAAGCTGGTTTCTATATGCCACCACATGCATAGTGTGATGTTTAGTCTATCCATGTATGACCTGCAAGCATTGACAGTTTGGTCTACGGGCAATCAGCAATCAGACCAGCTAGTAATGAGCGATTCAGATCACAATTCTAGTCATGGTATCAAGATAGGGTGGCTGAGGCTCCCTCCTGCCTCAAGAGTTAATTCTGCTACAATCTTCAGTAAGGGACAAGGCATCGTTAGCACTTTAGGGATTACCTGGGGCATCACTGTTACAGGAAAAGTTTTAGATCTATCAAATGCCATAATGACAGATCTGAAACGTTAACTGTGTTAGACTCCATTCCTACTTGCAGAATTCTTTTATGACTCGTTTTCCATTCTTGGGTTCGTGCCATGTTTACATTGCTCCTTTTGAGTGTGCCATCATTGAGTTAACTGGACCACTGAAATTAAAGAAGCAATTTGTCTTCTTTTTAAGTGTTGGGCACTTAGATTTAGGCTCAATACCAGATCTGGCCTAGAACATCTGGTGAATTCGCTTCAAATAGAAGTCATTTTTGAATGAAACTGGATCTGCTGCATGAAGGAGACACAACCCTGAAAGATATTCAGACTATATGTTCACACTATTCAAGAACAGGTTGTCTTGAACTCGGAGAACAAGCCATTAAGTTGCATTGCACAATTCTACCTGTTTCCTTGACGGATCTTCCCATAGGAAGGTGTCACCATATTTTGGCATGGAGAAGATCTATCCATTCATAGATGTTACTCATGATTAGTGCTTCTTGTTTTCACCTTGTTCAATAAAGGTTTAATGCACCAGCACATGTTTTGTTTCGCCTCTCATGATCCATCTAGTCCGGGCATGCGGTAATAACACCACACGTCTCTCAGTTTAATGGCAACAAAGTTCTTTTTAATATTTTGTTAATTTGTTAAATACCTTCAAAATTAAAATATATGTTTTAAAAGTAATGATAATTAAATACCTTTTAGTTAAAAAAAAAATTTCAAAGATATATTATTTAAATATAAAAATAAAAATGACAATTTCAGGAAAAAAATTTAAAAACTGCGTCACATCGTATTTTCAACTTAAACATAGGGAAAATTTTAAAATATGGTTTTTCTATAAATTTTGCCAAAAAGTTAAAAAGAAGCCAAGCTTACTTTTTAAAGATAAATTAAACGTGTTTTATATAAATAGAATTAATTTTTAAATAAAAAGTATATATTGAAACATATATTTTGTTAATAAAAAATAAAGTATTAAATTTCCAACGATGAATAAGAAATGATGAAATAAGAGAAAAAATAATTCTGCCCAAACTTTAGTGTGTTTTCATTGGTTCAAACAGGAAAGTTCTGTAACTACAAGCACTTCTAGAAGGGAGTGTTGCAGTTGCAGCAGTTTCAAGCTGAGTATGGCTTGGATATATCCATTGAATCTAAGATGAGGAACTGAAAGCAAAAAGGTGAGAGAAAGCAAGAAACAAACATGAAAGTAGATAAGATAGAGAAAAGGCATGATTGGCCTATGGCAGAGAAGAAACAGAAGAAAAACCAAGTACAGATGGAGAGATGATTCTCCCAAAAAAAATACAAAGGGAAGGAGAAAGTAAAGCAGAAAAAAGTAAATTTAATTTAATTTATACAAAAATAAAATTTAATTTTACTTAAACAAAAATGAAAATGTTGTCTTATTTTATTTTGCATAAACTGAACACTATCTGGATCTTATTTTTGCGGCCTACTATTCACAATATACAAGTTCCGAGGAATCCAACCGGCAACAACACCAACTTAAAAATCAATTTAAGAAAAAAAGTTTTATATTTCTTCTAAAATTTAAATAGCAGCTAATAGAAATAAGAGAATAGTATTTATATAAAAAATAGTAATTATAATTTTTATATTTTCATTATTTCTTGTACATTTAAAAAAAACATATATAAAATTATATTTTATAATAGTTATAAAATAAAATTTATTTTACCAAACAAAACTGTATTTAATTATTTCCAGAATAAAAAATCAATTCATAGGTAGATTTAAGGAAAAATAATTGATTCATAGAGGAAAACCAGCTAGCAACATCATGGTTATCAGTTAAAGGGGAGGGATGATATTATTAATTAGCATTGCAACCTCATTAGAAATATAAGGATTATTTTCACTCTAATCTCAATTGTTTTCAGTTACAAAATAGGCTACTGGAAGGTTAATTTTAGAATCTGGAATAGAATGAATAACCAGTTCAACCAGACATTTAATAACAGGAATTAAGAAATCACTCCACAATTTGGTTCGTAAATCATTTCTAATAATCCAAAAAATACTTGTTTTTTAAGCGAAGCAACATATTATCCAAAAAATTAATCATTTGCCAAGGTAATTTAATCATATAAGTTAGGTTAACTTAATGAATGTTTCTAAATCCTAACCCCCAAGCTTTAGGTTGGCATATGATTCTTCAGATATAAGATGGCATTTTCTATTAATTTGGATAGAATTCCATATAAAATTTCTACATATATTGATAATTTCATCACACACACTTAGATAAATATAAGTTGAGATTATAAAATATAATTAGAAATACTCGTAATGCTGCCATCTAGTATAAAAATAAATTAAGATTTTCTTTTATTAATATGCTGTCCAAAAAATGAACAGAATAATTGCATCACAGAATGTATCATGTTAGATTAAATGGCCTCATCAACCAAAATTTTATTGTCAACATAGAAAATGTGGGAAATGTAAGGCTTTTTTTTTTTTTTTTTTTTTTTTATCAAAACAGAAATGAATCCATTCTATTAGACTAACCTTATATGAATATCATAGGTCAATCTTTTTAAGTGGAGAACAAAAATATAAGAAGAAAAAAGATTTCCATGTCTAATACTTTCAACAAGTGAATTTTTTTTAAAAGTTTATTATTCTATTTTATTTGAAAAGATGAGAAAGTAATACAATTACAAGCACTTTTAGACTAAACATAGTCAAATCTAATTTTATCGACTAAACTCTTACTTTAGTTATCGAGAGAGTTTGAATCTAACATTTTACTCCCTAAGATATTTAAAATGTTATATTAGTCTTTAACTTCCTCGTTTGTCATTCATTTTAGTTTCTGTGTTTAGACTCTATTAAAAAATAATAACAGAAGACTGAATTGTTACGTTAAGTGCCACGTTAGAAGCTCAGTTAGCAAAAATGATGTCATTTTAAAAAGTTAATGTGTCACCTTTAATTGTCAAATGATGTCATTCTGATTAAAGCTTTTTTTTCCCTTTCAACACCTCCTTAATATGTGGTAACACCCTACTTAGTCACTGGCTGAGATTTAGTTAGAGACTCTTTTTCCTTTCTTACAACCTCAAAAGTATCAATCAACTGTTGAACAATTTCTTGATCTAAAATATGGAATGACTCACCGATTCCAACCACAACAATAGTGCACACAAAATCACTGAGTTTTTCACCTTGCAAGGACTCTCAAGTTGCAATAAGTGCATCTTTGATCAAATCTTCCCATGAAGAGCTCATGAATTTCTCAAACTTGTGTTCTAAATATGTCTTTGTAGCTTGTGAGTGAGAGCCAACTACAAAAGCCTGATATTTAAAATAGTTTCCACTCGAATAGTTATAATAGAGGTGAGCTCTAGATTCATTTAATCTAGCTACCAAGAGACCATTCAGAATTGCATCACAAATACTGATGAGAAAGAGATATTTTACGTTCTAATAAATTCAGTAGACACTTTCTTTCTTTATTATATAATTCTACAAATACAAACACAAGATTTGTCTACCATACCCCACCGATCCAACTTTTGACAACAAAATCATAAGCATGATTCTATAACATAAACATTAGCCCAAACCTCAACTTTGTCTCACATGTACAATTAGGATTCGTTGTCTTTAAAATATTAAACACTTAGGGTTCATCATCCCAAAATACAAAATAACTCAATGAATTAAAAAAAAAAATTTTCTAAATTCTTCATATGTTGACCTTTTTTCTACTGTAACAAACTTCAATATCTAAATATTCTATTGTCAAACACAACTATGAATACGAATTTAGGGCAAGATTCTGTGTGCATTTAGGGTTCCTCTTCAAGACAAATGAACAAATGAAAAAATATGTAATTAAATTTGGACCAAAAAGGCTTCAATCAGAATGACACTATTTGACAATTAAATGTGTCACATTAGCTTCTCAAAATGACGTCGTTTCTACTAACTAAACTTTTAATGATACATTTAATGTGACAATTCAGCTTTTGTTACTGTTTCTTGACGGAATCTCAGTAAAAACTAAAATGAATGACGGAGAAAGAAATTGAGAATTAATATAACATTTTAAATATTTCAGGAACTAAAATATTAAACTTAAATTCTCTCAAGAACTAAAATAAAAATTTAATCTAATTTTATCCAAAGTTTTCTTAATAAAATTCTATTTTATTTTATCATACGTGGATGTCTAATTTTTTAACTTTTAACAATTTAAAAGAATAAACTAAGTAAAATTATTATATTATCTGTTTCTTAACTTACAGGCACAAAATTGTATTAATTTTAGAAGTCATTAATTTTGTTTACTAAAATTTTTGCAATAATTTTATTTATAACATTGTAAAGAGATATACGTTTGAATTGATGAATATACTAATGGAAAAAAAATTCTCTTCTAATCTCAAAAATTATAAGTACATGTTACTTTAATATTTAATTTTATAAATTCGTACTTGAATTTTTATGTTTTATGAAAAGATTATTTATTTTAGTTTTTTTCTTTTTTTTTATCAACATTTTATATTAAAAAATAAAAATTTATAAAAATAAGAGATTAATCAATACAGTACTTACAATTTCAGAAACTGAGTTTCTAAAATGTATAACTTACTCATCTTACAAGAAACGATAAATGTATAATTACTATATCAAATGAATAAAGCAGAACAAACGAAATTGAACTGAACTAAATAGCTTGTAACGAAGCAGTTAGGTCCTTAACATACACTAACCTCTTCTTCCTCCTCTATGGTTGATGCCTTTATCATTTTTCCACTTCAGAGACTCATTTGCGAGGGCCAGGATAGCCTGCAGCTGCAGATTCGTTAGCAACGCTGCACCACACCCAAAATTTGCTTCTCTTCACAATGCCCCATTCAACCTACCTCATTCAATCTTCTCCTCACTTTTGCATCAATTCTCCAAAACTCCTATCCATGTCAAGTCCATTCACGCACAGATTGTTAAGAATTGTGTTTCAACCGAAAACTTTCTGGCTGCAAAACTCATCAGGGTCTACTCTGATTTGGGTTTTCTTAGCCTTGCCCGTAAGGTGTTTGATCAATGTTCTCACTTGGAAACCACTGTTTGCAATGCCATGATGGCTGGTTTACTGAGAAACCAGCAACACTTGGAGGTTCCCAAGTTGTTTAAAATGATGGTGGGGTCTTGTGATGTTGAAATTGATACTTACACATGTATGTTTGCGCTCAAGGCTTGCACTTGCTTGTTGGATAAGGAGATTGGTATGGAAGTTGTTGGGACAGCTGTTGGGAGGGGATTCCATTTGCATCCCTATGTTGGCAGTTCGGTGATTAATTTTTTGGTGAAATGTGGTAATCTTGATGATGCGCAAAGGGTCTTTGATGGGATGCATGAAAGGGACGTTGTCTGCTGGAATTCAATCATTGGGGGTTATGTGCAGGAGTGCCTCTTCAAGGAGGCAATTCAAATGTTCTTTGAGATGATTGGTTGTGGGATAAGGCCGAGTTGTGTGACATTGGCAAGCTTCCTCAAAACGTGTGGAGAAAGTGGGTTTAAAAAGCTTGGAACTTGTGCTCATGGATTTGTCCTTGCATTAGGCATGGGCAATGATGTGTTTGTGCTCACTTCATTAGTTGATATGTATAGTAATTTGGGTGACACTGACAATGCTTCTTTGGTTTTTGATAGCATGTGCAGTAGAAGTTTGATTTCATGGAATGCTATGATTTCAGGATATGTTCAAAATGGTATGATACTTGAAGCCTTTGCTCTTTTTCAAAGACTAGTCCAAAATGGTTCTGGTTTTGATTCTGGAACCTTGGTGAGCCTAATTCGGGGATGTTCTCAAACATCTGACTTGGAAAATGGAAAAATCCTCCATGCTTGTGTCATTAGAAAAGGGCTTGAATCAAATCTAGTTTTGTCCACTGCAATTGTTGACATGTATTCTAAATGTGGTGCCACAAAGCAAGCAACTATTGTTTTTGGAAGAATGGAAAAAAAAAATGTAATTACATGGACAGCTATGCTTGTGGGTTTATCCCAAAATGGCTATGCTGAGGATGCCCTGAAATTATTTTGTCAAATGCAAGAAGAAAATGTGGCTGCCAATTCTGTCACTCTTGTTAGTCTTGTGCACTGTTGTGCTCACCTAGGATCTCTCAAGAAAGGAAGGAGTGTCCATGCTCATTTGATCCGACATGGTTATGCATTTGACGCAGTTAATATGTCAGCCTTGATTGACATGTATGCCAAGTGTGGTAAAATTCACTCTGCTGAGAAGTTATTCAATAATGGATTCCATCTAAAAGATGTTATACTCTGTAACTCCATGATTACAGGTTATGGAATGCACGGTCATGGACATCGTGCTCTTGGTGTCTATGATAGAATGATAGGGGAAAGACTCAAGCCAAATCAAACAACATTTGTTTCTCTGCTAACAGCATGCAGTCACTCAGGCCTTGTTGAAGAGGGTAAGACTTTGTTCCACTGTATGGAAAAGGATCATAACATTAAGCCTATGGACAAACACTATGCTTGTCTTGTGGATCTCCTTAGTCGAGCAGGCCGTCTTGAAGAAGCAGATGCATTGGTTAAACAAATGCCGTTTCCACCTAGCACAGATGTGCTTGAAGCTTTGCTCAGTGGTTGCAAAACCCATAAAAATATTAACATGGGGATACAAATTGCAGATAGATTAATTTCCTTAGATTACTTGAACTCTGGAATTTATGTCATGTTATCAAATATATATGCTGAAGCAAGAAGGTGGGAGTCAGTGAACTACATACGAGGCCTCATGAGGATGCGGGGCCTGAAGAAAACACCTGGTTATAGTTTGATTGTAGTTGGTAACAATTTATACACATTTTTTGCCAGTGATGATTCACACCCTCGTTGGGCAGATATTTATCAATTGTTAGAAAATTTGAGGCTTGAGGTGGAGGCTTCTGGTTATGTTCCTGATACTAGTAGTGTTCTTCGTGATGTAGATGAGGCAATGAAGGTTAAGTTGCTCTGGGGTCATAGTGAGAGACTAGCTATTGCATTTGGTCTTTTAAGCACCCCATATGGAAGCTTGATTAGGATCACCAAGAATCTTCGTGTATGTGTTGACTGTCATTCTGTTACCAAGTACATATCAAAAATAGTTCAGAGAGAAATTATTGTGAGAGATGCTAATCGTTTCCATCACTTTGTTGATGGCAAGTGCTCATGTAATGATTATTGGTAATGAGGACGTGCTGAGAAGCTATGCACAAGTAGCAAAAGCTAACTTATTGAGGACATCAATGGACGTGGCTAAAGTCACATGATTGGTACCCATGTATTAATTTGGTATATTGATGATACGCTCACGGAAGAAAAATATGTAATTTTTCATAAAATATTAATAAACAATAAAATTTTGTTAAAAGTTATAACTTTTAATGTTATGACGTGATTTTTTATGTATTAAAATTCTAGAATTTTTGTAAAATTTTATTATATAAATTTGCATTATGCATTGTTAGACAAATGTTAAAAAATCATTTAATTATTTCATTGTTGAACTTAACCAACCAGTCAACTGTGTAAGTGCGGGTTTCTTGTAATTCAACTCTTAAAAAAATGTCATTATTGTGTTAGGCATCTCTTTAAAAAATTCCATAGTATGGTGGTTGTATGAAGTAACATGGGAGTTGGTGAACTTTACAATCGTTTCAATAAGTAAATCCCGACAAAGAACACACTCTGAGTATATTAGACCTAGCATGAGATTGGTTAAATTGCTTAGCTCTCCTCCTTTAATACTTAATTGAATACTAAATTTTTTTAATGATTTAAAGTTTACAGAAAAAAAAAAAAATTTTTTTCTTGAATAAGTAAATTTTATGGGACATTATACAATTAAGATTTGTTTGAAAAATACGGTAAGATAAGAAATGATTGGACATAAAAGTTGATAAAAATAAGATAGTACAAGAGAATGATAGACTTTTATCCTATTTTGTATTTAATCTATATTAGGATAATAAAGTATATAATATTACGTAATCTTGTTTCATATTTGAGATAAATAAAAAATAGTAGAACAAGATATAAATTAAATTTAAATGATAATATTAATATAATATTTAAAAAAATAATTTAACTTCTATACTTTTCAATACACATACATACATATTAAAAAAATTGTGTACACAACAATACTAAAATTTTGATATTAAATTATAATATTTTTCACAATTTTTTATAATTAATTGTTTTTGTAATAAATTATAATAAAAAAAACTATAAAAGTTTTAAATTATATTTATAAATTATAATTTAAATTTATTTTTTTATTGAAGATAATTTCGTATAATATTTTTTATAAAAAAGTATTTAAATTAGTATTTTAAGTAATTAAATAGGATAACTCAGTAGATAAAATTTAAACTATAAAAATATCATAAGATAACTAAATAAGATTAGGTATCATATCTTATTGCTCAACAAACACTTAAAAATAAATAAAAGAGAATAAGTTGTCCTATTAGACACCTCTTATTCACCTCTAAATAAACTCTTAATTGATGATAAAGCCATCTAAAAGAACTAACTCAAATTGGCTCATAACAAGTTAAATTCAATTGTAAGTCAACCTAGTCTAGTTCACCTTTAAAATGAATTAGAAAAATGTTAACCTAGCTCAACCCACCAACTCGATAGGTTGGCTCATGGTTGACATACCAATTTAAATTTAAAAAATATAATATAATATAAATTCCAAAAACTAGAATAAAATTATAAAATTAATAACACAAACATTGAAATAAAGATTAAAAAATAAAATACCATAATAGACTAGTTTGATATCTTAGCATTTTAGAATTATTAGATTAATGTGAAATAATAAAATAAAAAATTAAATTAAAGCTCAAAAGTTTATTCAATTCACCACAAATTAATCTATATAATTGATGAATTGGATAAGCATGATAAAAAAAAAAAAAGATTAGTAATTAATCCTTTAACTCTAAGTTTTGTTTTAGTTTGATTTTTTAACTTTTCTTTTTATCATTTTAATCTCTTAATTAACAAAAATATTTTGAATAAATTCTTTTAAACTCTAGTGAGAACATGACATATTTTAAAAAACTTTTTAATTGAGTTTTTTTGTTCTCTTTCCTCTTCTTCCTTTTCTTCATCTTCTTACTCTTCATTTATTCCTTCACAACTCATTTCTTCTTTCTCCTTAAGTTCTTTTTCCTCCTTCTCCACTCCCTAAATGAGTTTTATTAACCTATAAGATCTCAATCTATTCCCACACTATTGTAAGATGATGGCATCAATGCCACATTTTTTCACAGGTGCATCATTTTTTTTTGACAAATCACAAACATTTAATGAATCTTGGATTTGAATTTTGGCGAATTTAAGTGGAGAAAGACATAGCAAGAACAAAATGAAAATTCTAGCAAATTCTAACGATGGAAAACTGCTTTCGTTGTACTAAAAACTAATATGAGAAACATAGTGAAATGAAGAGAGTCAAATCTTAACTCGGTTAAACAATTTATGTCACTCCTAATTATTAATATATATTCATCTTAATCTTATGTTTTCTTACAACCAAATAGAAAATAATTAAATACACAATAATACTAATAAATTAATCATTGTTTTTAACTTTTTTATGTGCAGCCTAGTATAGGGATCCTATGTGCACTTTATGTATAAAATAGAGGAAGAAGAAGATAAAGAAGGAAGAGGAAATGGATCATGAAGAAAAGGAAGAAGGAAAAAGAGGAGAAAAAGAAACAATTAAAAATTTGTCAAAATGTATTGAGTTTTTATTGGAATTCATAAAACAGAATAAGATTAACAGTAATTTTTCAACGAATTTAACATTTTTTCAAAGACTTGTTTATGATATTTTTGTAAGTTAAGAAAATAAAATTAAAAAAATAAACCAAAAATTAATGGACCAATCTATTAATTTAATTTGTCTAGATTAAAAATAACATGAATATTTTATAGTTCAACTTTTTTACAACTCAATTCATCCAAAATTTATTGTGGGCAGAGTTCGCTGTGCCATATTTTAACAGCTCGAATTGATATCGTATGATTCCGCTAATTTACGAAGTTTCAATCGAGTATTCTACTTCAATTGCAGCAATGTTAAGCATTACACCTTTGGGTTTATAATTTTGATACAATTTAACTCCACAATAAATATAAAAATAAATTGTAAATTTCCATTCCTGTCCTTGTTAATTTAACTTTACATATAATCACATCTACTTTAATCTTTTGTGTAATTTTTTTTATAAATAATCGTGTCCAAGCTCCGGTGTAAAACAACATCTGAAACTGAAGTTAAAAATTTTAAAAGAATATTTTTTCTTGTAAAGTTAAGAAAAGAGATCTTGTAACTTACTATTTTCGGGATGAAAATGAGTTTACTGAAAAATATAATGATATAACATTGCCGCATTCAGTTTATGAGCCGGTGCTCATACTAATAAGTGGTTCTTTTTCTTTTTCTTTTTTATCAACTAATAAGTGCTTTTTAGACAATCATGTTTAAGAAAATTAAAAGTAAAAATGTTTATACAAAATATTGTAATAATTTTTTTAATACAACTCAACAATGAATTTTAATATAATTCAACAATAATTTTAATAAAAACTTTTTAGTTGTTTTTATTAATTAGTGAGCATCTATAATGATGAAAGTCACCTTCTCTATCTCCTACAAAAAGAGAATAAAAATGAATTTTTAAGACTAAAGATGCATCGCTTTTGCATGCAACGGATTCATGGGCGTAGATAAGGAGGCGGTCTTATTCATGTTCTTACAACATTGAATCATTGATTATGAATTAGAGAATAACGATAAACCCAAGGACTAAGCAACCAGTCACAATTTGATGGTGATTGCTGAAGAGCTTCTGGATGTTTGGATTTGATCAACAGCATCGTACCCAAACATTGGCTTCGAGATGCTTGGATTTGATCAACATTACCGTACCTAAACAACATACGAAAGATGGTTCCTAAGTAATTAAAATGAACAATTAACCATTATTTGGTCCAATATCATTTTTGAAGGGAACTCTTCCAATTTGATGAGCTGAATATCTGTGTGGACTCTAATTTTGGCCTTTAGTATATATTCATATTATTTTATTGAGTTATTTATTTGCAAGTATTCCCACCTTTATTCACTTTGACAAAGTAACCATAGGCCAAAGAAATTCCGTAGTTAATTTATTCAAAGTTGGATATAAATTACTATGCATTGAAGCGTTTTTTATTTATGGCGTAGTGAGAATATTAAAACGTTTAATTTGATGAAATATATATCACTCATCAACCATACTCGTAAAAGGAATCCCTCAATGATGAAATTATGTGCTTGTCCCACATGGGCAAACGAACTAAAGTCAAAAAAAATCTCACATTCACATGCGAAAATTGCCATGCCTTTGAAATTTCATGAATCCTTGAATCCACGCCGCGATTACCGTTTATCAAGTCTTTGAGGATATTGGAAAACCAAACACTTAATCTTTAAAATAATCCAAAGTCCACTTCGTGGGAGCGTTTTAAAATTTTGGCAACTGGGGCCTCGTGTTGAAGACTGAAGCATGGTTGTTGAAAATTTTGAGCTCAGCATTTACAAGGTCGCATGGCCCTTTAAGGGACAAATAGAGTCGTTAATTATATTTTTTTTTTTTATGTTCTTACGAAAGCAAAAGGCTACGTAGTTTAGCGTTTTATGTTTTGGCACATTCGTCAAAAATTTGTCTTGTTTCCAAAATATGCCTTCTTTATTGACCAAGGACCCCAAAATCAGGAACAACTATAAAACCGCGTCTCTGTCTTGCACCCTCCATTTCACCTCTAAGCACTAGCCCCTTTGGTTGTTTGTGAGGATACCCGGAACGAAAAATTATTTCATTTTATCATCCCTTAAAAGGCTATATAATTTCTACGTTAGTGCCTCAATTAACCTCACCAAAGACAAATATTTTTCAATTGGGATACTAATGGGTAACACTTTTGGTGCAAAGAAGACCACAAAGGTCATGAAAATTGATGGTGAAACATTCAAATTGAAGACCCCAGTGAAAGCTGGTGATGTGCTTAAGGATCACCCAGGTCTTGTTTTGCTTGAATCAGAGGCAGTTAAGCACTATGGGGTAAGAGCAAAGCCTTTGGAAGCACATAAGGAGTTGCAACCAAAGAGGCTTTATTTTCTTGTGGAGCTTCCCAAAGAGACAAAACCAAGAAGGGTTCGTTCTGGCATTAACATGAGTGCAAAAGATCGCCTAGAGAGCCTTGTGCTTACTAGAAGGTCTGCTTCTGATCTTTCTATCATGAAACAAAGCAACATGGGTGATGGTGAACAAAGCAATAATAATAAGGAGAATGGTGGGGTGAGGTTGAAAATGAGGCTTCCAAAGTCAGAGGTTGAGAAGTTGATGCAAGGAAGCAAAGACGAGGCTGAAGCAGCTGAGAGGATCATGCGGCTCTATATGGCCAATGGAAGCAGAGAAAGTGAAAGTGATGTTAAAGAAAATGGTGAAAATACTATGGTGTTGGACCAACAAATACATTACAAGGGTGGCAGAGACAGAGTTAAGGAGATTACAAAGGTACGTGTGGTTTGTTTTCTAGTTATAAAGTGCACACGCAACTTTCATGGCATGGTCATGGTTTCTTTAAATTAACCTGAGATTAATGTTAACTGGTCCTTTTTTTTTAATGTTAATGGTTAGAATCCATCTTGGATTTATTCAAACTCACCCTTTTGAACCAATATAAATAACTATTGAAATTTTTATAACAGAGTTCGTTGCATTAAACAATTATGACATGACATATAAAGAGATGAAATTTTAAAATTTTCTGTGATTATATATATTGCCATGCTTTTTACTTTTATGTTAGTACAACTGCATAGTTACGGAAATATAAGAAGAGGAGACATTTAGTTTATTTATTTATTGGTCCTAAATGTGAGTGTTTAAGTGATTCAATGGCCAAATGTCAACTTTATGTTTATCCCTTTTCGGAGACCCAAGAAGTAATCAAATTGTTATTATTTTGTCTTCGTAAAATACTTATTGGGTAAATGACGTTCCAAATTTTTAGAGATGAAATGTTTGAGCTGAATAGTTTTTTTCAATGATGTTAAAGTTTTAAGAAAGAATTATATCTAAAAGTTTGCCTCTAAAACTTTTTTAATTGATAACTTCGCCGATATAAAAACAAACAAAAAATTAGATAAACAAAGGAACACGAATGACCAAGGAGGATCTCAAGCAAGCCCAATCAATTCTATTGTTAATACTAGCTTACAACAACCAAAAGATTTTAGACATTTTTTTTTCAAATCAAGATTTGAAGACATTAAACATAGCATATTCATCATGCGATCCTGTGACATTACCGGTTTGCATATTCATCATATGATATTACGTGATCCTGCCGACCGAACAAGAGAATTGAGATCTAAAATATTAAATGCTTTGTTCATTTCAATTTTTTTATTCTGCACAAGATATTGTTGCACGCTGTATGCATTATCAGTATTGAATTAATTAGTGTGACAGTTATTATTACTTAATAAGTATAAAATATGAATATTGGTTATGCCTGAATAACTATTTTTAAACAATATTGTATCTCAATCTTGTTTGTAGCGACTAAATAGTGTTGAATTCAAAAATCTTGCAGAAAAGGGTGAGTTTTATGCCAATCAGCGAAGGAGGTACTCAAGTAGCTGTGGCTTCATAAACATTCATGATCACATTAACCATGTAGCCGAACATTGAATACACAGGGATGCTGTTTCTCCGGGGAATATCACACTAATTGAAGGAGCTTTTATTACATTTGATTAAATAAGAGTCATGTTTTTTATACAATACTTAGGGTCTCAGCTGGTTACAATTTTATAGGTGTTTGTATGTTAGTTTCATAGAACGGAATAGTCATTATTAAAATTAATTGTTCTTTGTGAAGACACCTATTGTGACTTGTGACTAAGCAATCCTGTGTTGTATAAACAGCATTACTACTTAAATGATTATGTGTACATACATATTTTGGGTGTGTCTGTGACCTCATATAGAAAAGATCGACACTTTGAATGAATGACTTGATATTAACTTATCAATTTTCTCTTGTGCTTCTCCCAGTTAATTCTTTACTATATATAGTTTTAAAGTTCAAATTAGAATTAGTAGCATAAAATTAAGAACATGGTCAATTGCTAGCAGATGATTCCTATCAGAAGTCAACGATTAAGGAATTAATTCATCCTTTCAAGCTTTTGATCTTAAGTATTTTAATTTAATAATATTTAAAAAATGTATGTGTTGACGCGATGTTTATATGTAATAATATTTAAAAAAATTATTAAAATAAAATTCTAATGTTTATTAGTCAAAAATATTAACAGCACTTATAAAATAACTAATAAGTTTTCTCTAGTTAATTGTGTACAACATACATGCAATCCACTGTTACTGGGTATTCCTTGGAGACTCATTGATCTATTTGAAATAAGCACTAATGTTGCTAATTGCTACTCAAGTTACGTAGCTAACAACCATTTTTGAAGTTCTTGAAAGTTTGTTAATTCTAGATTCGTTTTTTTGACAATTATCAACTTAGCTTCTAATCCTTTGTTCCATGAAAGGTGTTCACGTAAAATTTTCACATCACTTGTATCAAATCAGTCCTAATTATAGTGCCCAAAAGTTTATTATGCAAGATTAACTCAAAGTTCTACTTAGTTGTTGAATTAGCTTAGTTTTTATTTGTCTTGAGTTTGTTATGCTATTGAATTAATAGTCTATTCAAAGTTGTACTAATAATATATAGTTGTTTTGTACAGAGAATCGATACAATTATTTTTTTTTCTCGCTCTATAACACATTATTTAAAATTTTCAAAGTAACAATTATTGGTTGTAATGAAAGTCAATTGTAACTACATGCAAACCTAATCAACAATGTAGAAGCATTAATATCACAAGGATAAATACTAAAATATTACAAAAATATCCTAAATTATAAAATTCAAAGAATTATTACATATGAGAATGTATGTGAGTAAAGGATGATAATAATCTAGCATCACCCTCGAAGTTGGACAATAATACACAACAAAACTGTGAAACCCATATCAACATGAATGTGTAAATCCCACAAGAAAATTTTTAATATTTTTATTGTTAAAAAATTGAATCCAATTGATATCGAGCAAGTCACTTAAATGTACCAACAAGAGTTAGGGCCAATTTGCTAAAATACGCATCATTAGCAATGAATAGATTGGCCCGGAAACCAAGTTTTCTGGTTCAACAAGCTAAGCCATTCCTAGTCAAATAAATTATATGGCAGAAGGGTAAAATAAATTAAATCTTTAATCTTTAAAAGGTTTTACTAAAATAAATTAAATATCCTGAATATTTTATACTTCTTTTTACATTTTAAAAAAACAAAGAAACATACTTCTTTTATTTCTTGTAAATGAACTACTCCATTTGATTTTATTCTTTTTATTTTGGATGCAGAAACTTTGGGGTGAAGGGATTCCAATCCAAGGCCAAAGCAAGTCCTGAAGCTAAGTAGTAGTAGTAGTCATAATAGAATATCCATGATTTAGAACTCAAGTTTTGTGAGCATCTTATGTAAATGATTAAGCGAGCCAACTTCCTTGACTACTTTGTAGTTTATTGTTATTGAAAAACTTATTACTGTTGACTAACTTCAAAATTGAAGCTTTTTTTTTCTTTTAATTGAAGGTTGACTATGCACTATTACTTTCAAATTATTTTATTTATTTAACTATTTTCATGCTATGCTTGGCTTTTCAAGTTGCTTTGGTGTGTTCTACTTTTGTAGGCTGCATTTTCGTAGGCCAACGTTTCAGTATGTGGAACCATACGTATTGGGATCTTCTTCGTATGAAATTATTTTGTATCTTTATTGACAATTGGCTTTCTGATCATGCTATCCAAAGCTTTTTTTTTTTTTTTTTACTAATATCTTATTTTCCTCCTAAAAATAAAAACAAAAAAGTGAAAAAGTGAAGTCCAAAATGTACGAGTTCATGTGCAAGTCAATTGAGTAAGCTCTTAAAACGTGGCTTGCACATGTAAAAAAGTTGAAGGCAAGTATCAAGTAAATTTACTCATAGTTTCCCAGGGAAGCATGTGCAAAAAAGTGCACAACCATTGAATTCTCGGAAACGCACAAGCTTCCGTAAGCAAGAGGAATGCTATATCATTCAAAGAACGCGCCATCTTAGGCCCAATCAAAAGGTAGGCTAATAATCATTCCTCAACTTCAAAACACACACCCCTTTGTTAAATGTGGAATTCAATTTTGTTTGGAAAAATAATTATATTTTATATATTTCTTGAAATGGCCTTTACAAAAAAGTGTGGAATGGTCAGTTATTTCAAAACATATTGGAGTATTTTTCAAAAATTATACCACCTGAAACGAGCACGTCGTGGAAATATTCAATTATTTTAAATTTGAAGATTCTAATATAAATTTTGAACATATTTTATAATATATTTTTATTGTTCAGTAAATTTTGAGTCCTATGAAATAGAAAATGAACCCAAATTATTTATAGCTGGATTCGTAAAATTCATCCAGCAATAAAAAGTGAAAATAGTAAATGTTATATTTTTCTTCAAATTAAAAAAAAAGTTTCATTCATTTTCTACGTATCTCCAAATTTGCAGCGTGTTTTAACTGTAATATACACTCACGTGTGACAATTAACAAGGGGGCAAAATATTATGACATGGATAGATTCACTTACAGCTCAATCAATTGGAAAAACAAATGTTTATTAAATAAGTTTCATCCTAAATACTTTTAATATTATTCTTCAATTAAAATTAAAATTTTACGTCCATGTGTGTCAACCTGTAATACTAGTGTAGTAACTTTTAATGCATGCAAATTATCAAAATAAAACTCTAATTCTGTTAAAAAAAAAAATAGCATTTAAACTTTGTCCATTTGCCTTCCATATTTTACACAAATTCAATATTCTAACAAAGAAACGTATGAAGATTTCAAACAGTTTTAACACTGTCAATTGACGCATTACCATTTTGAGTTGAAGGCAAGGTGATCTAAGGCAAAGAAAATAAGTTAGCAGTAATCATGAGTATTAATTTATCAAATTATTGTAATATTCTCATTAATAACAATGTATTAAAAAAAAGAGAGTATAGTACAGGTAGGTGTATCCAAAACATCCGAGAAGTATCCAATATGGATACATGACTAACATGTACATTTGACCACTGCCTCCGCCCATGTATGTGTTGTTGAGAAAAGAATATATACGTATACAATTTTTCATGATGACCACTGCTCAGGTAATGTGAGAAAATAGGTAGTCATAGCTTTCCTAAACCTTTTCTTGTATTGTTTAGGAGAAACTATTGTAGGGGCAGCATTCTTTGGACCCCCAAGTATCCCAGAAGCCTTCACCCATGTTTCCAAATGCTTGTCCCATGTGTACTGTCTCATGAAATCAATGATGCCCAAAACCAGTTCCTTGCGTTCATCATCCACTCCAACCAACAATGAATAGTCCATAACATCAACAGACTGAACCACAATAGGAGAGAGTAAGTAGCAACTTTACAAAAGATACAATTTATATCCTTAAGTATCTATCAAGGAAAATGCCAACACACTATTTTAACACACTTCATGCCATTGATCTATTTTTCAAAAATCAAAGCAACATTTAAAAAGTAATCAATTTATGAGACTGCTTTGACTGTAAAAAATGGACCAATCACAAGAAGTATATTGAAAAGTGTGTTACTAACATTACTCACTATCAAATATGAAGTAAAACCATGAAATGGGATGTTAAAACGTGTCAGATTTGTCATGCAATGATTTGGAAGCCAAAGATGCAACATCTTTAAAGGTGAGTTTAGAAAAGAAAATAATGCTTACCGCCAAAAAGGATGTGTCATTCCACACGGCTCTTTCGAGTCTTCTCTTAGCCCTACTCCCAAGAAATATGGGTTTTGTTCTCAATGCTTCTAACAAATTCATGTCTAGCATAACTTTGTTTGTCCCGGTTGTATCTGGATTATACCTTGATCTTTCTGAGCCCTTGAGATCATATACCCTCGATATTTTTCTCTTGTAAAAGAGATTCTCCATTACCATCACATCTATTTTTGTTTCCTTGCCACCTTTTGGGTATTTGACAGTGACCTGCCACCAATACAAGAAATATTATGAACATAAAATTTACAGTTATACACCGGTATGGCACTTGGACGCAATGTCAAAGAATGAGCTCTCACCTGATAAATACCAAGAATTTTGGCAAGGCAAGTTGGGCCTCCTGAACTAAGGGCATCCATCAGGTATTTGAAATACTGAGGTGCAAATTCTTCAAAGGAATCCAACTCTGTCTTAGTCACTTGTTTAATAATAAACCTTTCATCTAATGACTTGGCAAAATATACATTACTTTTGCCTCCTTGTGCACTCCATCTCCGACAACGGCTCAAGGATCGCATGAAATCAACCTCATTAGGGCAGCACTTTTTCCTAAGTGATTCAAACTGCTTCGCAAAATAGCAAGTGACAGAGAAATTCACTTTACCTCCAGCACCCAATGAATCATCCCCAAAAGAAATTTGTAAGTGTAAAGATTTTTTGGGGTCCCTGAGAAGAGAACCAACAGAAGATGGTGCATCTTCAGACCCATAACTGCCAAAATTGATGTAGTCCAACTCCATAGTACCCCATGCAGAATAGCTGGAAGTAGCTAAATCTTCTTTGGTTTTATCACAAGCAATCCAGCTACTATCATGCAGATCTGACTTACCAGAAACCCAATCTTCATACTCCTTGGAACTAAGGGCATAGGATATTATGCTAGAGTAATCATTGTCATAAACAGCAATAACTCTATCACCATGATATCTTTGGGGAAGCAGCAACCGAGCACCTTCAGCTATGTGAGAAATGGAGGAAACAAAAGATGGCGGGGAGCTTAGAATCAAATTTAGTTTCTGTGCCTCCCACGGCAACATTTGAAAGTAAGTTTGCAGTACATTAGAGACAGGGTCTCTAACCATATTCCTGTAATCTCCAGAAGCATGAAAAGATCTAAGTGTTGATAAATGTAAAGATGAAGGCAAGACTTTTTTTATTCTTTCCTGAACCCTTAATGCTGAATCAAAAGAATGAACTCGCATTGGTTGTGACAACCTTCTAAAAGAAGGGTTATCATGATTAGAACGCCAAACACTTCCAGATGGGACAGCATTTGCTTGAAATGTATGAAGTGGTTCAACTTTCAATGGAGGTTGATCAGTTCCAGTCCATGCAGAATCTATTTTCTCAGAAAGATTGGACTCATTTGGTGGGAGACACTCAGATAATGTTTTGTTGGCAATAAGTTCCCCATCTGAATATACTTCCTCTCCATCAAGATAATATGTAAATGACTCGGAAGCACTAGGTTCAAGTGTGTCATCCATCTCTCCAAGTATTTGACTGTCATGAGACTCATGCAATTTTGAAAGCTGAGAATTATTTTGCTCAAGCCCATTGTCAAAATTCTGATCCTTGTGGAATGTGTCAAGTCTAAATTCTTTAACATCAGGACATACTTCATTGTCTTGTTTAAAACTAAAACTTCTTTTAATGAGAGACTCCAATGAGTATAGCCGGTGATCCCAAACGTGTGACCCAATAAGAAGAGAACGCCGCACACGATTTAGTTCCAGAATGTCTAACGTTATCTTCCCTGGTTGTGGGGTCAATGGGGCTGATTGTAGCAAACCCTACACATATACATGCATAAGAAAAGGGTAAAAAAAATAGAACGTTAGAAACAGATATACACATCAGCAAAATGTCAAAATAAGCAAACACTTGCACTCCATGAGGTTCTATAGATCAAGTACCCCAATACAACAATGACACATTGACACCAGATATGAATTAGCTTACACACATGATAATCAGCTCTTTCTCTTTGAAGCATATCTTTCAGATCCATTATGTGGTTATGAATGTCACAGGCATCAGACAGCTCATTTCCAGCAACAGGAGACACAATCTTTGTTTCCAACCTTTTCAACACATTTGATATCTCCAAATACAAGGTTTCCACTTTACTTAAAAGCTGTTCAGAAAAGAGGGGAAGGTGAAGGAAGTTAAATTTTGATACTAAGGAGTAGATAAACTAAAAATATTGTACAGCAATACTTTTTAAGTGAAGCAAATATTAACAGTAGTTTTCAATATCACCTCTCCTGCCTCCTTTATAATCCACTCCTCTTGGACGTGACCAAATTCCAGCACAGATGGGGGTAGATGGACAGAAAGAATATCAATAGGGGAATACCGGAAGAATGCAACCATGCTCCCAAACCTGTTACATCAGGTTGTTTATCACCTTTCAAGTATTGATAACCAACCTAATTTACATTTACATAGATAAACAAAATAATCAATCAGTGGTTCCCTGTCTGGATGATTTACCCATAAAAACGGAGGCAATCCCTCTGCAAAGAATGTCCACAGGTTGCAACTCGGTTTGCTGTTGCATGGTTTGAAAAGCTAAGTTCCAAGAACTTTCCAAAAGATAAACCCCAGGCGGCATCCGACATAACAACTCTCCGAGTTGCTGGTGGAACTCCATCCACATGAGGGCACCTCAGACACCTGTGCCACATCCAAATCTTGCCATCTCTTTCTCCTGGCAACTTCACAGACGGAAGGCGCCTAACATTGATTGTGAGATTTCCTTGCTGGTGAGTAAAACAAAGGACATGAGCCTCTGCTGGCTCTTTACAAGATTGACAGCAAGATGTCTGTGAAAAAAAGGAGTAATTCTCACTATTTCACTTCAGAGTCAACGCTACCACCAAAAACACAGTAAAATAAACACGACTTACCTGATCAAACAGATCATCACGAAGATATCTCCCAAGAGGCTTATCAAAAGAGCCATAGAATTTTATGCGCAGCAACCTAGTACGCTCACATACAGTTCCTTTCGATACACAATGACTGGAAAAGTACACCAATATGCTTTGATGACCATCAGTGGCAGAGAAGTAATCACCAGAAAGCTCATCGTCATTAGTTCTGTCTTTTGTTGAGTCAGCCACTTCACCACACTCCCTCTCCTCTTGAACTATGGTCTGTTGCAATTCTGATTGCAAAAGGTCGCTTGAACTTAATATAGTATCCCCCTTAGATTCATTGTACTGGGGCAAATATTCTGATTTTACAGTCAAATTAGAAGTTAAATGATTATAGTATGAATCAGAAAGTGCACTCCCATCCCTATAATTTGCCATGGTGCCAGTACATGAATGAGAACTAAGGTCATCAAGATGCTCTGATGCTGATCCTAAATTTTCAAGCTTCAAATCAAGACCAACAGAGTCTTTCAATCTAGAAGCATCCTCAGCTTCTGGTTGGCACGTGGCTGATGAAATAGAAATGGTGTTAGACATCATAGGAATGTCTGTGTCAACAGTTGCACTCTCAGGCATGTCAGTCAAGTGTTTTACTATCATTTTAGGTAGGGTAGCACCCTCATCAGCAAGGAATGACGTCTCAAGAGATAAGTGATAGGCTGCAAAAACAGCATATTGCACAACATGCTTAATTTTCTTTAGTTCTGCACGGCATGTGCCCCTCAGTAAGACCTATATTAATAATCAAAAGCAGAAACAGACTCAATTGCACATCCATAGCTTACACAAAAAAGAAGAATGAAACAAAAAGAACAAAGGGATATTAAAAAAAATGGAATACCGTGCAACCCAAACGCCGTGGACAACCTTCAAAAAACATTAATGTTTTGGATGGCTTTTTATTGAATTGATTAGCAGTCTCATGATCCTCCACCAATCTGTCTAACCGGAACAATTCACAATGCCCTAATCGTGCTTTAGATAAATTATCCACCGATGGAGTGACAAGAGCACCGGTGCAGCGAGCTATACGGTCCAGCAAAGGCCTTTTAACATTCAACACCAAGGAGATTTCCTTTGCCAGCAAATATTCCTGAGCACATGAAGCTACACTTTTTTCTACCAGCAAAACATTTGGTCGAAGAGCCTCAATTTTTGAAATGATCATCTTCAGATGATCATTTTCCTGCCAGCATTAGCAAATCAGAAACTCTTTTCAAGGGAAAAAAAAACTTAAACTGAAGACACACAACCCATAGGCGAATCATTATGGCACCTGCTGCAACAATGTATCAAAAGAAGCCAGTTGATTTGGAACTTTCTGATATTCCAGTGCTCCTCCTAAAAGAAGTAGCCGAGGCTTTTTATATTGAGAGGTCATGCGCTTATGCTTAATATTTTTTGTACAAACCACTCCTTTGATAACAGCACTGCACAACAAAAATCCATAATTTAAAGGTAAATCACACAGAAATGCCTAGGAACATGGCAGTGATCCACAAGGTATATAGGCAAATTTTGGAATACACATATTACCTTTCACTTGGGCTTCCAGATGCTATGCATTTGACCTTTACATAATCACCAGGATCCATACTGCCACCTTTGCTGGTATCTGGTCTCACAAAGTTAGCAGCCTGCCATGCTACTGTTGCAACTATGTCAAGCCAATCCTCAGAATCATTTTCCTTACCAATTGTAATACCCTCTCCCTCTAAAAGCTGTGAAACAAGAGCTCTAAAATGCCCTTGTATGACAGCTTTTAAAGGTTCCTTGTTTCCCTCATTATGTTTTTCCTTTCCAGGAAACATATTAGATAGACTGCTACTGGATGAGAACATGGCACCTGAGTCACCAATATCATCATCCTCATCATCGTATGTAAAAAAATTGCCTTCTGCATCATCATTTTCATCATCAGGCGGTGGGGGGAACCAAATAAGACCATTGTTTTCAAAATCCAATGGCCTCTGTGAATTATCATTCTGGTTCCGGAAAATAGACAAGTCATCAGAAAAATAACCAGTAGTATATGCATCCTCAGTCCCTTGTTCAGGCTTTCTTAAAACAGCCATACTTTGTTGACCAAAGGGACCATCATTCTGAGGGACGAGACTTTTCTCCTGCCCCTTTTGTACAGGAAGCCCAACCCTACTAGAAGTAAAACCAATCCTAGAAGGGCTCTCTGAAGGACTTGACCCCACAGAATTATAGTTGTAAGTGTCATGTCTAGCACTAACCCTACTTGAATCTATATCTGAATAATTATCACAATATGTACGTGATGGGCTGAGAAAGTGCTTCCCAGAATCCTCTGTCCCTTCTTCGTCACTCCTACATTTATACACAACATATATCAAGCACAAGGAAGTTTTGGAGAAGGGGGATTACATGAATTATGCAAGTAACTTTAAGTTTCAAATAATTAAAAAATATCATTTGTTCACAAATTCAAGAATGGGAAGACACATATAAGAGATCATGTATTCAGAATAAAAATGGGAAGACACATATATGAGATCACGTATTCAGAAATAAAAATGCCAATGAAAATATACATTTTCAGTTGTCATACATCAGAGAACACCATTATGATAAGATATGACATGCAATAATTTCTTAATCAACTTCCAAATAAAAAATAAATAAAACAAAACCATTAAACTTCATGCGATAATGATTAAAACAAGATTACCTAAAGGTTGATGGATGAGTAGATAAAAGAGAAGGGTGAGAACCAGATGAGGTCATACTCCTGTTGACAACTGAACAAGGATAATATCCATAATCTTGGTTGTGAAAATAGCGCTCAAATTGATTTCCCTGATTCAATTCAATATTCAGTGGAGAACTGGTTCTTTCACTTTCAACACTAAAACATGGGGAAGGTGGCTCAGGACTTTGTCTTGGACTCTCTTGTGGAGAGACAGAAGGGTGCACTTTCTCACTACACTTCCTCTGACCCTCAATCATCATCCTATTGGCATCTGAACAGAACTTGCAGGAACGAACGGTTTCCCTGAATCCAGGATTGTTATTGTGTTCATGATTTGTGAGATCACAACCTCGGATACATTTCCCACACAACCAACGGCCACAGCCTTTGCAATTGTACTTGTCCTGTTGACCCATCTCATTGAAATCTCTATTACACTCACAACACATTTTGCAGCCACTATTGAGCATATCAAAATTTTCAGACAAACACAAATCACTTCCTCCCCAAGAAACCCAAGACCTAAACTTTTCTATTAGATCTAGTACTGAACTATCAGGTATTCCCATATAAGATGTAATGACCCAACAGAGAACTCCAAAACAAAAAACGCTCTACGCTTCCCTCTCTTAACTTCGGTATAGGAATTTTCTTTCACAAACCCAAAAGCAAAAGTAAAAATCTATCCTTTGGCACCAGAATACTGATCACTAAAATTGTCTAAAAATAAAAAATCAAGTGAAGAGTATTGGTAAAACCCACGATAAAATTGGGGGGGTTGGGGGGGGGGTGTGACTGGGATTGTTTAAATCAAATTAAAATTTATTTCCATTTTTTTCGTTTTCTCTTTTTTTTCCTCTTTTACTTTTTGGCGAATGCAAATCCTCCAGGGAATCAAATAATATCAAAGGAGGAGGCGACAACTATAGCGACGAAAATCTAGGATTCACCAATCAAACACTATTTACACCGAAAATCCTACCCAAATAAAATCTAAACCCACGGAACAATGTTTCAAATATCACAAACAAAGAACGAGAATCTTTCTCCAAAACCCACCAAGAAAAGCACGAAACTTTGAAATGCTAATGACCCCACAAAACTAACCGATCCCCAAATCATCAAGAATGCACTGAGGAACCGATTCAAGCATTACCTCAACACGTAAAACCACAAAAGAAACAAGACCCTTAATAGAAAACGAGTGTATATTGATGTTTAGAACTAAAAGGTGAAGTCTTTGAATCCCTCAAGAAGAAGAACAAGAAAAGAAAAACTGTGAAAGAAGGAAGAAACTTTAAATAATGGGAAGAATTAGAATCAAAAGCAGAAAGAGAAGAAGTACGGAGAAGGTTCCCTTTCTACCGGAATAGGCTCGCATCTCAAACAACAACGCCACTTCCTTCATACCCATTTCTCTCTCTCTCACCCCTCACTCCTTTCCTTTCTTTTCTTTTCCTTTCCTTTCTTTTCTTTTCCTTTCACCCTCTCTTCTCTCACCACCTTATTATAATATTATTTTATGTTTATAATAATAAATGTTATTGATTATTGTTTTGTTGAATTTTCGAAAAGAGCACGCAATATATTTATTATTTTTTATAAAAAATAATAATAAGGGATGATTCCTTCTCAGATGTTAATAAACATATAACAGTATAATTTTGTATTTTAATAAACTCTCCCTTCCTATTGGTCCTCCATCAGCATGCTTAGCTAGGGTTTAATTAATTAGTATAATACCTTTATCTTCAATCGTACTATTGTTAGTTAATTAATTGGTTTGTTTTTTCTTTATGTTTGTTAAACTTTGCCTGTTTTGATCCATCTGCAAGTTTTCCTGTTCATTGGTCAGCGTCATGCTTAGACCATAGGTTGAACCTTTTTATCACTTTTTTATAGTTATAATAATAAATATATATTAAAAAGTTTTTATATATTTTTATGCCATATATGAAATTACTATAGAAAAATATGAAATTCTTATAACATTTTTTTATAGGCAATGTAATAAAAAGCAGCTTAAAAGCCATCATTTATTTGACACTAATGCAAAACTCGTAAATACTATGTTCACATGCGGTGTGCGCTCGTAATCCGTTTACATTGAAAACTTCGGGTTTGATTGCAATAAAATGAAATAATATTTTTTTAAAACGTGTGTCTTAAAGGGTACAACAAAATTTAGATGTAATATTTGAAGGTTTGTTAATATTATTTATTAACTAAAATTTGAGTTTTGTCAACAATAACAGTGTCTAAACAACGTGTAAGTTTTATTTGAAACAGTATATAAAAAAAAATTTGAGAGTTTAATTTTACTATGTTATTAATGTAAATTTTTTCTTATTGTTAATTAATTAGAATATATTATAATATAATTTTAATATTAATTATCATAAAAATTAATAACTTTTAGTGATATAGTAATCTATGATTAAATGACAGTGTAAAATTTAACATTATTTGTATATTTTAATTAAATTATTTTTCTAATATACATTTAGGATCTATATTAAGAAGTAAAAAATATTAAAAATAAAAATATTTATTATTTTAAAATCATAAAATTATTTAATATATTATTTTATAATAATTTAATTCATTTAATGAGGTATACTTATTATTTATTATCATGTTTGCCTATGTACACATTATAAAATAGTAAAAATTGTAGACTGTAAGTTTTTATTTAAATTGTATAATATTATTAAATTCAATTGATAACCTTAAATATAATTTATAATAAAATAAATAACTTTACAAAATTTTATTATTTGATTTAAATAAATACAATTTATAAATGTTAATGAATTTAATTTTTAATTTTAGAAAAATATTACTATAGTTCTTAATTTTTTTAAAAATTTTATTTTTATTATCATGTTATATGTGGACAAAATTAGAATAAATGTCATTTTATAAAATTATAGTTTAAAAGAAAAATTTTATAAAGTCACGCATATTGATAATATTTCTTCATAATATACAAAATTAAAATAAATATTCGCCTTTATTTTAATATCCAATCGTGTTTTAGTTATGTAAAATTTTATTAATAATTAAATGTTATTCTAAAATATTTTAGTACCTGGTGTCTTCCAATGCCATGATCAATCACCACTGTCAAAAAGAGATTGTGTAAGTTTCTTACAACGTGATATATGAGCTAAAATCTAATAACTATTAAAAAGGGTTTTCTATTTTTTTTAATTATAACAATTTTTTAAAAAAAATTGTAAACTACATCATTCAAAATAATATAATTAAATAATTTTATGAGTAAAAATATAATATAAGTATTTTAATAATAACAAATATTTATTGTATTAAATTGCACTTAAAAATATAAAGATTTAAAATTGAAAATTTTTATTAAGATTAAGACATGTCACTTTTATTGATATGGTATAATAAATTTTTCTCTTTTAATATTTCAGTTTATTTATACTTTATAACATAAATATTCTTATTGTTCAATATTAGTGAAGATCAATGTAAATTTCATATTATTAATTAATTAGAATATATTGTAATTAGAATATATTCTTCACACGATCATTATATTTAAATTAAAATTTTATATTTTAATTGTAAATAAATATTTTAAAGATACTTCTACAAGTTTTATTGTTATTATTTACTAATTTAAATGCATTGCTGTTTTTTTAAAATAAAATTAACACTTTTATTAAATACATAGGTTTTATGATTTTATCTGAAATTTTATTTTACATTATGGAGACACAAAATTGATGCTAGATATTTAAAATTAATGTTCTAAAGAGACTTATATAATGCTAAGAATCGACAAAATAAATTAAAGTATAATATGTATCTATGTTTAAAGAAAAATATTTAAAAAAAATTAAAATGTATAGGCTAAGCTTCTTAGAAAAGAAACAAGTTCGGTTTATTAGTATTTTTAATCAGCATCACTTCGTCATTTATTACGCAAATTCGGAACAGACGTGATTAGGAATTTTTCTCAAATGGGCAACAAAATTTGATTTTGGTATCATAAAATAAATTGAATTTATGAGGGTGGATTCTCTAATAAAATATAAATATTTTGGTTTGAAGAACGGTTTATTTTTCTTGAATTCGAATCATCAACACGCTCATTGTAAACATAGTTGCTAAGCATGCACCCTCAACAAAAATGGAATTTTTATTTTTATTTTTTATTCTTAAAGTTAATGGCTGGAATGAATTTTAAAATATCAAATTAAAATAAAAAATATATAGTAAATAATCAAATAAGCCATTTAAACAAGGTTACATAAGTTTTTTTCGTTAGTTACAATTTGAAATAAAATTTATTTGTATATTTCTAATGTTTGAGCGACTTATTATCATAAAACTGACTAAATGAATGTTCAGTATAAATAGTTGTGCGTGTCATATCTTCAAAATAACAAATAATGATATTCGCAAACAAAAAAAAAAAAAAAACAAATAATGAGAAAGTTCTGTACATACATTTAATATTAAGCATTTATGTTAATTTCTTTAAAATAAGTAACAATTCTTTTCTAAAATTATATATGGTGCAACAACTCGGAATATTTCATTTAATAATAATAATAAATTTTATTTTAAATATACTGATAATATAAAAATTAAGTGTCATCTAATTATTATTATTATTATTATTATTATTATTATTATTATTATTATTATTATTATTATTATTATTATTATATTAATAAAATTTATTAAATTTTTTAATAATTAATTTAAAATTCATATCTATTATGTATTTTAATTTTTTTATAATATAAAATTTGTTATACCGGCCATCAAATTAAACTTATTATAAATTTTATTTAAGATTCAAATTTTTAAAATAATATTTTCCTTTTTTAAAAATATATATTCTTATACTTTGAAGTTTAAATTTTTTTAATAATAAATATTTACTAAATTATCTATTTCTATTTATAGTTAATTCATTTCAATATAAGTTAATTTAAATTTTTATTTTTAAGAATTGTATAATGCTTTTATGTACTTTCTTATATATTTATAATTCGATATTTTATATTATTTTTACTTTGTTACAATCATTATTTTTGTATTTTTATTTTCAATCATTGCAACATTTTATGATTGTTTATTATATAAGTCATATATGTTTGGCGCATATTATTTTCTATGATTTAATTCTTATCTATATATACGTGTGTAAAATATATATATATATATATATTAGTTATTATATAATTAATATATAAAAAATATTTATATATGTATTTATTAATTATATTTATTTTATATACATATATTAATCAATAACAAATTTTATTTATGTATTTATTGATCATATTTAGTTAATTAATAAAAACAGTATTTAGGTACAAGAATTAATAATAATTACACTAACTTTTAACTCTTGCGTGTAAATAATTAGAAAATAAAGAAGTTTATTTTATATATAAATTCTAAATTTATGAATCTACTATGAAAAATGCTTTAAATTTAGGTATTTGAATGACTAATTTAATGCAATATTAAGTTTAGAAGTGAAATTATACAGTTTATTATGAAAATTAAATTAGATTTAAGAGAGAAAAGATTACACAAGTTATATTAAAGAAAATTTATATTTTAAATTTTATCTTATCCTAACCTAAAAATTTAGCAATACATGTATAATAAATAAATAGCCATTGTGAAATCTTCCATTAGAGCTTTCACCTTTATAGCTTCAACTTTTATGTTTATGTTGTTTTCAACTCTAATTCAGATGATGGAAAAGGGATAGAACAAGAAAAAATAAAAAATTAAGAGCATGTTTGATTTTTATTTTTAAAATAGTTTTTAGTTTTAAAAATTAATTCTAATTGTTTTAAAAATTAAAGTACCCTAAAATTTGAAAAGTGCTACAAATAATTAAAAAATATACCAAAAATGTAAAAAATAAATAAATGCAAAATCCTACCACTTCAGCTATTTATAAACTTTTAGTAGCTCCATATAGCCATTGTTTTAAGATGCGCAAGTTTTTGTTACTTCAAATACTAAGAAATGAGGATATTGCAAAATCAATGTCCCAACTGTGCATAAACCTTTGTCTTCATGAAAGCAAAAGGTGAGAATAATCCACTTCTACTGTTTTGTCTTGCTACTTAAACGATTAATTCATATTATTTTTTACTCTTTTCTACCAGTTCCGAATGAAATTCGCAACTACAAAATATACAAGAGTTTTCATTAATAATGCTTTTTTTTCAATTTATCTTTTATGCAAAATTTAGCTTTTTTTTTTAGAGATTTTATAAACTTTTTACGTCCAATATTTTTATTTGTCTGCATATTTCTCATTGATCAGTTTTATAATACAAGTATTTTTTTTAATACTATTTTATATCATACAATATCAATTATATAAAATATTATATGATAAAATTAATATGAAAAGTTAATTTAAAATAAAAACTTATTTGTGACACATTTTTGTTAGTTTGTGTTGTTTAATGTTTGA